CTCCCTAACTCATTGCTTGTCTATCTGTCTATCTACCTCACGACCTATCTTTCTGTCTCTGTCTATATTAAACTATCCATCAACCAATGAATCAATCAATCTATCTATCTATCTATATACCTATATAATAATTAATCATCGAAGCTATCTATCCACCTGTCTATCTAGCTTGCTACCTAATCATGAAATATATAGATCGTTCTGCTCATCTATCAACTAGTCCATTTATTTCCCTCTTTCCCTGTCGATCGGCCCAGCCAACAATTCGCTAACGCATGTATGCACTTCTACGTTCAGCCATCAGTCCACCTTTCCACTCATCTATCAATTTATCAATGTCTGCCTACGCAAGTGTTCTTCATTATGCGTTACTGGAAAACCACTCTGTAATTAGATTTGAATATGTATCAGAGGTTGAGCGCATTGTGTCATTTTCATTGAAAATGTCGATGTAATGACTTCCGTTAGTGTAAGTGCCGTGTGTATGGTTTCTGGTGATATGAATTTTCATAATAATGACGCATGCAGGCAGTTTTTTAATATGTGAATACGCAGCGGTTAACAAATTGTCTCTCAAGTTCTCTGTCTTGATCAGTTTGAAGCCAGTTGTACAGTTCTGCTCCGGTCCCCCCTAGCTGCTTTGATTCTGTGTAACTATAAGCCATTGTATCCTTCTGTAAATTTAAAAGGAAGATATGAAATCAGTTAATTTTCTGTAGCGCATAATCAAGCATTGGTTCTTCCGATCTGCGGGCAGAGGTGTTGTACCCCACTGTTAGATTCCATGGTGCATTTGCGCATGGTTCATACTAACTCATGAATCTATTGTTTTCTTTCCTGGTCCAACAAATTGGTAGAAAAATGTCACGTCGATGAATTAACCATAAACATTTAGGACAGTTGGTGTCGTCTGACAGTAGAAGAACACGCTGTAATGATTGGCTTATTCGATGCAGTGTTTTAAAGCTGCAAAGTGACGTGACTCATGTGAGGATAGTCGTTTACAGCAAGGAATGTAATTCGATAATCTTAAATTAAATGTGAACAAATGGCACGCCTCTCTTCGTCAGTCAGGATTGCATAAAAAGCAATAAGTTTTCAGTAGGATGATTCTTAAGGTGGAAACAGTTCAGTTCGTCACGGAATTCGTAGCATAGCTGACTGGCCCTTAGCAAACAGTTCAGATTATAACTTTAATCATATAAACTAATGTTCATCGTTGAAATTTTTTCTACTGCTTTACTTCCTTAAGACTTCACGATTGTTTCGATGCAAACTTTCTACTTAAACGTAATCTTTTAGCTATTTTTATTGATCGGTATCGATCAAAATTATTCCCAGACCAGGAAGACAGTAAAGTTTGTTTGGGCAAGCCTCTGTCTGTTACTGAGTGATAAAATTTTGCAATGACACCTTTGCGGCATAAAAGTAACTCAGCGTATTCCGACTCAGACCTCACTGCGTTGTTGCGCAGCTGTACTTCGTTTAAAGAACTCCGTGGCTGACAGCAATGATTCATCTTTGTGATTTTGGTTAAAACCTTGCCGCAGTTTTTCTTCCACTAGATTCATGTCAATAGAATAGTGCATTTCCTGACATTTCGTGTATCGTTGTTTTCTGGCGCCGATTTGGCGTCCGTGGCGGCCAAACAGTATTTCAATTACTCTACTTACTATTCAAGTTTCCTGAGGCATAAAAACAGAACGAGGTTTATCGCGTCGGTTAGTTCCTCTAAAGGCCGGGCTTTTTTATGGTATAATCAGCAGACGATGATTCTAAGTTCAGTAACTACTTAACCTCAGCACCAAATCTTTCCGGCTTGGTTTCTTCATTCCGCATTTTATCTCTTATCTGTTCGCATGACTCGTCAATTGCACTGGATGATGTTACTACGTCGAACAGTTTCCGTCACCGATTTCAGTTTCCATTTATGCATTTTAATTTATTATAGAATACCATCAACATTAAATTTTAAGTCGAACCAACGCCTGATGACTGACGTTAACTGACTGTGTCGCGGCAATTGCTGTGTTTAATGCTTCAGTCGATACGGCTGAGCCCATTTTCAACAACGAAAAAACACAGCATAGAAAAGTGAGACTAAATATGGTAAGAACAGTAAATGAAGTCCATTTTGAGTCCGTTAAAGAGAACGCCTGTTAAAACATGGGAAGCAATTCAAAGAGGGTAGGATTGGCGACTTCTACCATCACAAAGGCAAGAGGTTACAAAAAGGACAGCGCGTCCCACATTAAAGCAGCGGGTTCTTAAAAAGCTTTAAATGGACCGAGGTACTGGTCCGAAGTTAAACTTCATGAATATTTTACTGAATTAAATGCGTTTTAATCCATAATTAATTTATGATAGAATATACGATTTTTACGCATATATTTAATCGAAGACACTGATCAGCAACGTAGTCGCTACCCGTTCTGAACAGAGGAGGCAGACATCGCGACGAATAGAATCACATAATGTAAGCCTCTCAGCAGAAGTGTAGCGATCCCACGACTGAAGCTACAACAGGCTTAAGCATTGATTTTCTTACAGTTCTATGAGACTAATTCAGAGTGGGCATATGAATCCTTCTTTAAGGAAGTGCAGTGAGGTCTGTACAAAGTGCCGAATACGGAGTCCCTCGTCATCATGGATGATATTAATGCACATGTCGAAGATGACGCTGAAAAGTGAAACGGCGTGATTGGAAGAAACGCACTTAGCGACCTTAACAATAGCGGCATGAAATTATTGCGGTTTTACACAAGCAGTGAACTAGCCATTATGAACACCTTCTTCGAGCATCGAACAGTACATCAGGTACAGGGAAGCTTTGCACAAAAATTGATGATCGATTTGATAATCATATCGTGTGACTTAAGAAGCTCAGTAGTGGATGTTCGCGTTAAGAGAAGGGCAGAGCTATCAACCGATCATCATCGTGTCGTTGGCACGCTGCGCTGCCACACGAAGATCTGGTGGCAGAAGCAACCAGAGAATCAAATGGGAAACGAGAGCGAAACTTGCAAACAACATCGCACGACAGTATGAACAGATTCCGGTGATGACCACTGATGCGGAAACTGAGTGGCTGCTCTTTACATGAAGCAAACTCGAGGCGGCCGCCGAATGCTGTGGATTTCAACGATTTGCCTCCCGCCCGTAGGTCAGAAAAGATCCTCCTGGTGGACACGGGAGGTACAACTGGCAGTTAAAGAGAAGAAAGCAACGTTCAAGAAATGACTTGCAAACAAAGAGCGGTCTACACCCGAGTGATATGTCAAGGCACGCAAGGCGGAAGCCGTAGCAGTGGCAAAAGCCAAAGCTGTTTCCTGGGAGAAATTCGGAGAGGTGTCTTAGTGGAATTTCCAGAGGAGGCCAATCAAGGTATTCTGGCAGACCATCCGCCGACTCCAAGGTGGAAAGAAGCGCAGTCTCAGAGTCTTGAAGGACAGGCCTGGACGCCGTCTTACTAAGGATTATGACATTCTTCGGTAAAGGAGAGAGTAATTTGAGGAACTCCTTAACCCTGAGCAACCTCAGGAAGGATCGCCTGTATTACAACAAGGAACGGATATTATTATCTCTGCATATGGAATTACACAAGCTGAGAGATGAAAAGCCTGCTGCATATGATGAAATTCGCCCTGAAATGCTCAAGGTATTACGTGAACAAGGCATATACTGGCTTAAAGTGTCTGTCGGACGTGAGTTAATCGTTTCATCAGTTTTTCTCCGAATTTCAGGCTGTTGAAAGAAATAACAGATGACATTCAAAAGTTCATAACAAACTTTTGAAACTTTCGATTCTGATTTGACAAATCAAGCCTTGAATGAGACTTTGAGTTGTACCAGAAAATTATAGGGTTAGGTGAAGATGTTTGTCGGAGAGAAGGGGATAAAAATAGCAAAAAACAGATGTTTACGTTTAAGTCTATGAAAAGCTTTCATCCAGGAGTAGATCGGCAATTGCTGACGAGTTCGATATTATTGTACCCGCCATGAATGAATTACAGTGAATGCATAAATCGCTGTACAAACTATGTCAAATTTTTTCTGTTTCTATTAAGTAAGCTGTGTCGAACATTCTGTTCATTACGGTTAGGAAGTTGCAATTATTGTAAAAAAATGGCATAAGTCTTCATTTACTCATAAATATACTCTACTTCCACCTGACAATTTTTAAAAATGAACAGGATACTCTGTAACTATTTTTCCACTGGTATTTTAAAATGTCAATTTTGAAACAACGTAATGAGCACAGCGCTGCTCGCAATTGCCAAAAAACACACATTTGTCATATTTTTCTCTGGTGAAACCAGACCATACTGCGTTATACCAGTTTACACGAGATTAGAACATTTACTCACCTATGTAAAAGGGGTTTTTATTCTGTACGTACACCAATCGAATTGTTAGTAGATTGCTAACCGATGCTAACCGAGGATTTTTAGTTGATAAACTTAAATCCTGAACTCACGTTTCGGCGTAGATATGGAACCGACTATGTTTTTGCTGTCGTGACGTACGTTTGGACCTAATAATGCTCTCAACGTTTCTGCAATGGGTCGATTATCGACTGACAAATGTAAAACTAGGTCTTGCCGTAACTATGGTGAATCAGCAGTAATGAATTGTTTACTGTGTGTAAAAAGCATATGTACGAAACTACTGGATGCGTAGACAACGTTACCTACATTTCTTTTTCTTCTTCTGTAGTACTGAATACGATAGCCTCGGCTGAAGTGAGGGACGAACTGGCATGTGCGGCGCACGCTGTGCTGTTTGAATTGTTGTTACTCATCTACTTATGCTGTATCGTGCCGTGTTGTCGCTTGTCCTCGTCTTCTTCAACTTCCATGGAGTCCGGCGGCGGCTTTGGTAGCATGCTCAAGCGCGTGGGTAGTCGCAGCACGATCGCTAAGAACCTGACGTGTACAGTCCACCTGCTTGACGATGATAGCAGCATCCAGGTAGAGTTCAAGGTATGACTTGAGGAGTTCCGGCGGAGGTGAGTAATGAGCAA